CAATTATTATATTACCACTGTTACACCGTCGGTTTTTGCGGTGTAAACTGCTTTTTTTAGCTGTTTTTCAGCAACCTTCGAATGCTGCCATGCTACAAGAGGTGGAGTACCATGCGAAGGCCTCGCGGCAGAAGTAACCAGAGAATCAAATCGGAAACATTAACTCTTACCGGTACGAATGTGAAACTTTGAAGCAACATCGCACCACGGTACTAATCTCAGTGACGCTGCTAATTTGGAAACTGCTGTATAATAGCGGCTTGCATGTGTCAGGGGCGAAATGCCACAGTTTCAAATGTGTTGGCCTCTCGCCTACTGGTCAAAAACTACGTTGCTGATGGATACGAAAATTCCACTGGTTTGGTCGAGAAGCAAATTGCATTCAAGAGGTGCATTAGAACAAAATAGTCATTGATTCATGCGTGGTATGAAGATGCATGGAAGGAATTTTCGAAGGCAGCGAAGAAAGCGAAATCTGATTCATCTAAGGAGTTCGGTTATGTGTTAGAGCCGAGTTTCCAGATGACCTTGAAGGTATTTTTGCGCGTCACCCCCTAGCTCCGAGGTGAAAGGAAGTGAAATTTGGGAGTGCTGACGGATTAGTTTAACACAGCAACCACCGGGAAAAAACATGAAGTGCAACGAGTATGCGATATTCCTTTCTTAGATAAAAGCATATGTACCGTGATATGGTTCAGAAAGGCTACGCAAAGATGTTGCAAAGGATGTGCCACGAAATAACCGATCCTAAGATGAAGAAAGTGCGGCGTGACTTCAGGTCTGGCTATAGCAACATTGCCCAGTTTTCTCCCTAACGCCCTACGCTGTTGAAATATTGTGGTAGTTTGCACATCCAGATTATACGTTGGCTTAGAAACAGCGTATGCGAAGGAATGTACTATCGTAACTTTGAAACGTTTTGAATTTTTGTGTATAAATATTTATCTTCATGTTTGTATCTTATTAGAGTCAGTAGAAGGTCACACCTAACGTATATTTTAACCTGTTACCGATTCATTAGGTTTTAATTTGCTTGTTTTTCATCCAGCATTTGATACTGTTCATGTGAAGATATTTTAGTCGACGATGCATTTCGTCGCAAAACCCGTTGCGTTTGTGATCGACTTTTGTATCGCCAGAGAACGAGGCGTACAGTATTGTACATGAAACCACGGATCGAGAAATGGAAGCGAGATTAAATTTATGCAATACCACTCTTGTCGAAAAGTGACTGACAAAGGAATAACGAAGTTTCCTAGTATTTCGAACGATAGATATAACGCGACAACCGCCTCAGTTGAGGCCTGATTCTCATTGAAAAGTTCATCTTCAGCAGTAGGAAGGAGGGCAATGCAA